AAGAAAAACGGGAACCGTTGCTCCTTAGCCTATCGTAGACCACTCTTGTGTTTCTTTTTCCTTCAAATATTTGAGTTTTCCTCCCTCCTTGGCAGAATTTGCGTGCGAGGTTTCCCATTGTCTCCCTCTTCCCGCAGCGGCACCACCACCCGTCGCTTCGTGGGCCACACCAAGGACGTCCTGAGCGTGGCCTTTTCCTCCGACAACCGTCAGATCGTTTCGGGCTCCAGGGACAAGACCATCAAGCTCTGGAACACCTTGGGTGTCTGCAAGTACACGGTGCAGGTGAGCCGGGGAAAGTGGGCTTCCGGATCACGCTTCCGTGAGAAAAGATCTCCGTGGACTTAGTTTTAGGTCCGCTCCCACCGTTTTTGATGGGGAATCCGCGTCTCCCAGCCCTGTCCTAATGATTAAAAGCGAGACGTTGCCTGCTGATCTCTCCCTGGGGTTGGGTTTGAGGACAAGTCCTGCAATTATGAGGGATTGGGGACGAGGGGGAGACTTGGGGGAGACTTGGGAAAGCTGCGGAGCGACGGGATGCGGCAGGTCTCATCTTGCAGCGCCCCGTGGACGGGGTGGGGAAGACCCGGCCGCGTTTCCTCGCCGTGAACCCGGCGTCGTTCCTCTTCCCCAGGACGAGAGTCATTCTGAGTGGGTGTCGTGCGTGCGTTTCTCCCCGAACAGCAGCAACCCCATCATCGTCTCCTGCGGCTGGGACAAGCTGGTGAAGGTGAGGTGGGATCGGCTTCCCCCAGCTGATCTGCAACGGTGGGGGGAGGATTGGAGCAGCCAGAATGCTCCAGGGAAGTGTTTTTTTCCCCCCCTGTATCCCCAGAATTGGGATGCAGTAGCAGTGTTTAACCCCCTTTTCTTCTGCCCCCGTGTTTTTTCCCCACCTAGGTCTGGAATTTGGCTAACTGCAAACTGAAAACTAACCACATCGGGCACACTGGCTACCTGAACACGGTGACCGTCTCCCCCGACGGCTCCCTCTGTGCCTCCGGTGGCAAGGTACACGTCACGGGGTGGGAAAGCTGAGGCTCCGAGACGAGATCTTGGCGTCCTCCCAGCGCTTTTGGCTCATTTCTGCGTCTCCCACCCTGAGAGCGGGCTCCACGTCTCGGTCACGGCTTGAGTGGGGTGGCAGTGGCCCAAAGATCCGGCCTGACTCGATGGTTCTTGTAGCAGATGTCGAGCAGGGAGGGAAGAGCACGGCAAAGATGCTTACCCAGCTCCGAGGACCTTCTTTACTTCTTTTATTTCAGTCCTCCATGTGTTTTCTTTGAATTTTCCTGTTGCGTCCTTTAACTTTTCCTCATCCCTGCTGGCTTGCGGCGAAGCGCTCCAGCTTAAGTGGGGTTGGGGTGGGAAAAGGGCCGCCCTCGGGGCGGGCGACAAGCGTTGGGGTTTGCTCTGACTCCTTCTTCTGCTCCGCAGGATGGCCAGGCCATGCTGTGGGACCTGAACGAAGGCAAACACCTCTACACCTTGGACGGAGGAGACATCATCAACGCCCTGTGCTTCAGCCCCAACCGCTACTGGCTCTGTGCCGCCACCGGACCCAGCATCAAAATCTGGGTAGGTCAACTGCTCGGTCCTCAGCCCCTCTCCGTCCCCATCTGGGCAGGGTTCCTCCGGAAGACTTACTTGCTTCGGTTTTTGGCTTACGCCGGGTTTGGAGTCACCTTCAACGGTCGAGATCCTTTGGATCACAGATGTTGGAGGAGGAGCTCTCTTGGAAGAGCATCAACACCGGGGTGGGTCATGCAGCAGCCACTGGTGCCCATGGCCGAGGAGGGTTGCGGTGGCCGTAGGGCAGAGCCATCACGCCATGATGAAACACTTTGATGCCATCTGAGTTGCATTTCTGTGCGGAAATCCAGAGGCTGTTTCTGAGCGACCTTCTACGCCCTCAACGGCGTTCTGGACTTGGGTTGGATTCAGCCGTGGGAGTCTCCTTCCCTCGTTCCTACGTGTTTTTCCATTCTCCTGCAGGACCTGGAAGGCAAAATCATTGTGGACGAGCTGAAGCAGGAGGTGATCAGCACCAGCAGCAAAGCCGAACCACCCCAGTGCACTTCCCTGGCCTGGTCCGCAGACGGGCAGGTAAAAACCATCCCCTTCTCCTTGCCCCGACATCCCAGCCCTGGGGAACGAGGATTTTGGGGACCCTCCTGCTGCTCTTGGAGCATAGAGACCGTGAAGACGCTTGTGCTCCGCTGCTGGAGCCATCTCCACCAGCAAGGGCAAGAACTTTCCCTTGGGTCCCTTCTCAACCTTTGAGCTCTTTGTCTCCCCAACACCTGGAGTGACGGTGGTCCCTCTCCAGTTGGGATTTGCCCTCTGAGGACCACAGTCCCTTGTCCTCGTGTCCTGAGGTCCCACCTTGCTGCCCGTCCAACCCTTCCCATGACCCGAATCCGTTTCTCTCCGTAGACCCTGTTTGCCGGCTACACAGATAACCTCGTCCGGGTGTGGCAAGTCACCATCGGGACCAGATGAGGACGCAGTAGCGACAAACCGTAAATTTTGTGTACAAAAAAAAAGAATCAATAAAAAGAGTGCTCTATCGAGCTCGTGGCCACCTCATGTCCACTGTTGGGTTGTCCCACAACCCGGAGGTTGATGGAAGATCTGGGGTTGGAGCTTTACTCCAGCTGGACACAGATCAGGAACCTTAAGGGAGAGACAAAAACCCAACGTCCCCAACGGGGAGAGCTTTACGTCCACAAAAAGTTGTCCCCAAACCTTCAAGGTTGGGGACACTGTGGTGGGACGGGGCTTGGGGCTGAGGACAGGATGAGCAGCAGAACTTGGAGAGGCACCGAGTTAAAACCCACGAGGCAGAAAAATAATAGCGGAGGGAAATAATTACGTGATTGCAGGCGGCGTGGTAGGACTTGGAAGACGTTCTCTGTCCTTCTGGCTAACGAGGGACTCGGCATTTCTTCTCCCACGCGTGGCATCGCTGCGAAAGACCTGCAGACCTGGGAAAACAAATGTAATTCCCACCCCAAAAAAAAAAAACCCCAGAAAGTAGAGAACATTTCCAGAAAGTAGAGAACATTTGAGAAGCAGCAGTGGTTACAAAAGTGAGGCCTTGGATTTTCAGAGCAGCTGCTAACGAAGGAGAGGTTTTTAATGTGGAACTTCTAAACCCAGCAGCCTCCAAGCAGCGAGCCTGCACGCAAACGAACTATTTTCACATTTAGGCCTTTTTTTTTCCCCTCTTTTCCTGGCTGGCAGACCCACAGGCTGTCTGCGTCACCGAGCCGGAAGGGACTTTGGTCCCTTGGCGACACCAGCTCGGCGTTGGATGCTGGCCGTGACAGGCTCTTTAGGCAGATAAGAGCGAGTCAGCCACTTCGGCTCCGGGCCTGACCTAATCTAATTAGGAAGGATTAGGTCAAGATTAACGAGGCGAGATTTAAAATCCATCTGTCCAGCAAGGAGGCTCGGGGGCCATTCTGTAAGAGCAAGGCCAAGGCAGGCT